CAAACCAGGACCTGCAGTGTGCACTGGGGCGGTTTGCAGCCGAGTGTGAAGTGGCTGGGATGAGGATCACCTCCTCCAAGTCCGAGGCCATGGTTCTCGACCAGAAAAAGGTGGCTTGCCCTCTCCGGGTGGGTGGAGAGTCCTTGCCTCAAGTGGAGGAGTTCAAGTATCTCGGGGTCTTGTTCATGAGTGAGGGGAGGACGGAGCGTGAGATTGACAGGCGGATTGGTGCAGCGTGGGACCGTTGTGGTGAAGAGAGAGCTTAGTCGAAAGGCGAAGCTCTCGATTTACCAGTCAGTCTTCGTTCCTCTCCTCACCTATGGTCATGAGCTCTGGGTAGTGACCGAAAGGACAAGATCGCGGATACAAACGGTCAAAATGAGTTTCCTCCGCAGGGTGGCTGGGCGCTCTCTTAGAGATAAGTGAGGAGCTCAGTCACACGGGAGGAGCTCCGAGTAGAGCCGCTGCTCCTCCACGTCGAGAGGAGCAGCTGAGGCTCAGGCATCTATTCTGGATGCCTCCTGAGGACGTTCCTTGGGAGGTGTTCCGAGCATGAGGAGGCCCCGGGGAAGACCTAGGACACGCTGGAGGGACTATGTCTCTCGGCTGGCCTGGGAACACCTCGTGGTCCCCCTGGAAGAGCTGGAGGACGTGTCTGGGGTGAGGGAAGTCTGGGAGTCCCTGCTTAGACTGCTGGCCCCGGATAAGCGGAAGAAAATGGATGGATGGATATTTACATTTTACATTTAGTTCAGTAGAAATGTGCAATTCCAAGACTGAAGTTATCCAAATTATTCTCTTAAAAGGTGGAGCACTTCCTGACATCAGGAATGAGTGTTTTCTGCGCAGCCTAAATATGCCGGGTAATATGACAAAAGAGGAGAGCCAAAGGAGTCGGACTGAGAGAAGAGGAAGAGGAGGAGGATAAAAATTCGCTGCTGACAGTTGATTTGGTGATTTGAGCTTTTAAAGGGAGCAAAAGTCTGAAGAGAAATAAGTGATGTTCTCTTAAAAACTAAACGATTCCAGAAAAAGCGTCTGTGATCACATTAAGAGACTCGCGCTCAGCAGATGTGGAGCTAATGAGCTGCCAGAGAAATCGGATCTGAAAATATTAAACCAGGAAATGTCACGAGCCAAAGAAATGAAACACTAAACACCACAGAAAGACCGAGACTAAACCAGGACTAAAACCAGGACTAAACCAGGACTCAACCAGGACTAAACCAGGACTAAACGTGGACTCAACCAGGACTCAACCAGGACTGGATCATGACTGGACCAGGACTAAATTAGGACTAAACGAAAACTGGACCAGGATTCAACCAGGACTGGACCAGAACTGGACCGAGGCTAAACGAGGACTCAACCAGGTCTCCAAAAGGACTAAACCAGGACTCAACTAGGACTAAACCAGGACTAAACCAGGATTAAACCAGGACTGGACCAGGACTGGACCAGGACTTAACCAGGACACAACCAGAACTCAACCAGGACTCAACCAGGACTTAAGCAGGACTGGACCATGACTCAACCAGGATTGGACAAGGATTCAACCAGGACTGGACCAGGACTCAACCAGGACTTAACAAGGACTGGACCAGGACTCAACCTGGACTAAACCAGGACTGTACCACGACTGGATCACAACTGGACCAGGATTAAACCAGGACTGAACCGGGACTGGACCGGGATTAAACCAGGACACAACCAGGACTAAACCAGGGTTGATGTCCGTCTACATCTCCAAATCTCAAAACGCTCTGTTCCACTTTGTGATATCATGAAGTGATGAAGTTTTTACGTTAAAAACTCCTTTTACTTTCTGTTCAGTAGAGACCGGAGTTTAAAAACACACTGGAGCACTTCCTGTATTTTCACATGACATTACAAGATGGAACAGAGCGTTTTATGCATTAAACTTGTGAATGAAAAAAACAAAACACACAACTCCAGGTCTGTTTGCGATGAGGAAACAACATTATAACATCAGAAAATATCGTAAAATGGTTCTTTTCAAAAAGCTTGTGTTACTTTCAAAGCTCCAGTCCCACACAGTTCTGTATTTCCTCTGGACTTGGATGATAAGATTTGTAAACACACCATACACCGGTCTCCCCACATCAGCCGGGATCCTGCTTCAATCAGTGTTGTTATCTCACAGACATCCAACCGAATCAACCACGGCGAAACGTTTGACAATGAGAATTCCAGGAGGCGCGGTCACATCTGTGTAAATCCACCGAGATTTACAGCGCCGGGGATCGAGGTGAGTTAAGGTGAAAGCAACATCCAATCATCCGGGCGAGATAAGAGGGTCAATATGACAAGACGCACAATGAGAAAGAGGAGAGGGGGCGATTGGCATGCACGGCGCCACGTCTAATCTACGGCGCGAGGGACAGAAGGGGCCGGCGTCAAGGTCAGACTCCCGACGACGTGTCATATGAAATGTCTATGCTCTGGTCACAGCAACAGGGAGAATGTCACAAAGTAAAAATAGTAAAGTACTGTACCGTATTTTCCGGGCCATTAGTCGTCATTAAATGGTCTATTTTCGAACTTTTTTCACAAATAAACCGCACCGCAATAAAATCTCCTCTGTGAAGAACAAAATGTGTTTTATAACCTCTAGTTTAAACCTCTATAAACATGTTCTGAAATGTGATGTTCTGAATGGACTTTTGAATGAGTTTATCCGTTCATATTTCAGTCTTTCCTTAAATATTAAAGATGCATGTGACAAAGTGGCCCTTTGTCCCATTTTAAATTCACATTAGTTTATGTTTTGAAAGGGGACTTGGGCCCAGGAAAAGAAATCTTCATTTGCCTTGAAAGTTCCCTGGAAAGTCACCTGGGGGAGGCACTTCCTGCTGGGTGGGATATAAAGCAAAGCAGGTGTTGGGATTAGGGAGAGACTTCTGTGCAGATTGTTTGGTGCTTTTGATTTGAGTTACTTATTTTCTGTTTATTTGTACTTTCTTTTGCATTAACTTCAGAAGTCTGTTTTAAAATAAATTTTGTCTGGTCAAAGGTACTTTTTTTTGTTGTCGTCTTCAACCTACCGTATTTTCCGCACTATTAGGCGCTCTGGATTATAAAATGCACTGTTATTAAATGGTCTATTTTCAAACTTTTTTCACAAATAAACCACACTGGACTTTAAACGAAACACAACAGTTGGATGGGTCAGTGGGACTTTGTTTGTTCGTTCACGGTGATTCTGGGCTTTGTTCAGTTGTGGCGTGTAGGGAGGGTGCTGTCTGGGACCAACGGATTGTCGGCGTGTTCGCAGTGACTCAGTTGTTCAGTTATGGCTAAGAAAGGCACATTGGACTCGCTTTTTCGGTACCGTTCCTCGTCGGCGTGGAGTGATGAGTGTGGCTGTGGGTGTTTTTCGCTGTGCGGTCGCTGTTTGCTCCGTGTGTGTTTACGTGTTCTGCGGGTGGTGCGGCTTTGTAGTTTACTGAAGTCGTGCTGGGACACCCGAGTGGATTCATGTATGGGGCGCTCTGGATTGTGGCGCGCGGCCGTTTTTTGATGCGATTAGAGGCTTAAGAGCGCATCTAATAGCCTGGAAAACACGGTAGTTAAATAAAAAGAAAAACTTAGGTATCTGTGCTTTTACTTTACTACAGGTTTCCCACTCCTTTTCACTGACAAAATTTCTTAACTTTTCCATGGCTTTTTCATGACCTAAAGTGAATTTTCTATAACTTTACTGCAGCCTACATGCATAGAATTTATAGCAATTTATAGTAACGGTACACAAAAATCACGGTTCGGTACGTACTTCGGTTTTGAGTCTGAGAAAATGCGAAACCATTTGCTTATTGTTTATTCGTGTCTTTATTAAACCAACAATTTGTTTTAACATTATGCAAACAGGAAAATAAAATAAATACAAAGTGCTGCTTGGTAATACTAATAAGTTAAATTAAATATTCTCAAATAAACAACAAATGTTTGAAATATTATAAAAAATTAATTCCTTCTAAACAATTAACAAAGCTTTTCAAAAAGTGAAGTGCAGCACTAACCGTTTTACTCAATCTTCATATTTCTGACCAGAAAAAAACTACTTGTCCACAGTGTCTGCAGTAAGTGTAGTGGGTGATTCTGCACCGGCAAAAGGCGAAAGTGAGGACCGGGGTGAGACGACCGTAGTTTTGCGAGGATTCGTGTGGTTTGGAGGGACATAGTCAAGGTGCAGGGCAGTTGTTGTCATGGTGGCTGCCCTAACTATAAAGCGCTGCGGGAAACACTGCCACCCCAATCACGGACAAGTTCCCTCTTGAATATTAAAGAGTCGAGTCTTCCATTTAGCTGCACATGTAGTGGTGGAATGTAAACACACACAAATTGCGCAAATTCACTCGTGCACAGACCTGCACCAAACTGGACGTCCCACAACGAAACAGTTCAGCATAAATACATGTACTGTTACACTCCTAAGAACTGACCATATTTTTAGGGCTAAATATGAAATGTTAACTTTTTCCACTCACCTTATGGTTTGGGATTATAGTTTTTTAACATTCAAAATACTGTCAGTGCATTTATTGTCGTCTCTTTGAAACAGAAGGCGCAGATGTTTGGAAATAATCATAACAGTCTAATGAGAACTTAACAGAACGCTGTAGTTGTGTAAAAGAGATACTAAAATTCCATGACTTTTCCAAATCTTTCATTGCATTTACAAAATTCCATGACTCTTCCAGGCCTGAAAAATTACATTTTCAATTTTCATGACTTTTCCAGGATTTACATGACCCTGGGAACCCTGTCACTACATTTGAAAGCAGGTATCTGAACTGGACTGAAAGATAAAAGTGTTGTTTTTTTTTTTATTATAGTTTGAGATCTGCTAAAAAGGCTGAGGGTTTATTTTTAACTTGTTCATTTTTTGAGCAGACGAAAATATACAAATAAAATCAGCTAGGAAACAATTCAATAAAATAAAAACTAAAAGTAAAATGTAAAAAAGCATAATCACTCACCTTCACTAAACAGGAAGTTGTCACCACTTGTTTGGGGTCGACTACGTCCACCAGCGGCTCCTTTATGGCCACGTTACGAATACAGGTCATGTCGAATCCATAGACGTTCTCCCACCCTGAAACACAAAACCGACACTCTCTTATTATCGTGTACTTTACTCTATCAGTCGTGTTTTTTTCTGTAGCCACAATCGTCCAGGGACAGACTCCTCTAACAGATGCACTGTCGGTCTCTGTGGCTTCCATCACTCTCCCTGCACTTCCATAATAAATAATAAACAGTGTGTGTGCTGGATTGCTGTAGGTTCCTGACAGCTTTATGGTGAGGACATTTTGTATGCATCAGATCCAACAGTCATTAGTCTTTGCGTTGGCTTTCAGACAGTGATTGTGCAAAGAGCAAAACATCAGAATTAAATTCCAATTCCATTATTAGTTTCTCAGAGCCGTACTTTATTATCAGCATAAACTCGCAATGAGCAAACTGCCAATACTGATCAAGATGCAAAGGTGACGCTGTTATTGGATTTGTTAGTTAGAATTTCTCTTCCCTGTTACCCTATAATTCCTGACTTTTATGTGTTTTTGATGGTGAAAGAAGCCAAAGGTGTAGAGAGAGTTTCTTTAAACGTATTTAATACTTAATCAGAATAATATTATTTTATAGAAAACAGTCACATTTTTATGTAGGGCAGACTAAAAGGCTTTTGTGAACATAAAAACGCCATTAGAACTAAAAATCCCAATTACCCAATGGCTCTACATTTTCAAACCTCCACTCAGTGTAAAGTCAGCCTTTCAAAAGTCATGGTAATTGAGATAGTCCCTCTAAACATCAGAGGGGGTGACAGACTACATCAATTGTCTCAAAAAGAAATGGATTGCAACATTAAAGGGACAGTCCGAAATTTTGGACATAGCCAGAGTGTTGGAGACGTGTGGAGACACTTTTTAAAATATTCCATCCAGTCCTTGTATTTGCAGAGGTCGCTGGTGCTAGACTAGTGCATGTCAGTGGCCATAGTTATCCTGACACTAAAAACAGTCTTACCCACTCCACAAAACACCCAAAATAAATCTATTATTAGGCTTTGGAGGCAGGAGTGCTACTTGGATATGCAAAAAATGTGCAGAATTGTCCTTTTGGTGCTCTTCAGTGTAGGGACCAGTCTCAAATACAAAGTGGGAAAAAAACTGAGGCTCTCAAAAAGTACAAAATAATCAAAAGCCTTTAATACCACACGGCAGATAAAGTTAAAATACGCCAACGCGTTTCGGCCCTTCGGCCTTCATCAGGGCAAACTCGAGATGTTTATCACAGTGCAGATTTAAAGTAATAAGTGTAGGTCACATGTTCACAGTGGGCTGGCCCACAGTCCCCTAGATGCATGATGGGACATGTAGGCCTAACAAACCTTAATTATAGGCTAAACAAATTCAAATACAATAATACAAGACATAAATAGTACAAATCCCAACAACCAATACCTAGATAGATACATTATATGAAAATAGTATAAAATAGTATAAAAAGATACATAGTGTAAGGATATATATATAGTGCGATAACTCAAAAGTGCTTCAGCTATAGTTTGTATAATATATTTAGGGGCTAGTCTTAAATAATTTCAAGAAGACAGGGATATAGAACAAGGATCGATTACACGTTTAAAACTCGTGGTTTTAAAGGAAGGGGGAGAAATCTAACTCTCCACTGAGTCCTGGAAACTGTGTGGCCTTGGGAGTGTAGATCCAGTAGGTTTCTCTCTGTAATAGTTTTTTCAGTCTATCTCCTCCTCTTATTGTTTCTTTAATATGTTCAATTGCACAGACTTTTAGGCTTTTACAGCTGCCATGGTTGGCTTCTTTGTAATGCACGGCCATAGGATACAGGGGGTTATATGTCCTTATAGCCTGTTTATGCTCAGCCAGTCTGTTTTTCAATTTGCGTTTTGTTCGGCCTACGTAAAAACGACCACATGGGCATTCAAGTCTGTATACTACATAGGTAGTGTTACAATTAATTAATGTTCTAATATAAAAACTTTGACCTGAGTTAATGTCCATGAATAAGTTCGTCTGTTGTACATGTTCACACATGTTCCGTGGATCATGGAGAAGTTGAGGTTTAATCCACAGTGGCTCTTGGATTCTGGGTCTGGTGTTTTTCCGCTGCTGCTGAGAAAATTCGACGATTCATGTGATACAAGGTTATCAACACAGACATTCACATGGACAGTCTGGTGTAATAATAGTTTTGTTTTGGGTGTTTTGTGGAGTGGGTAAGACTGTTTTTAGTGGCAGGAGAACTATGGCCATTGACATGCACTAACCAAGCAAGCGACTCCTGCAAATACAAGGACTGGATGGAATATTTAAAAAAGTGTCTCCACACGTCTCCAATAATCTGGCTCAATAGGAAATGAGGTCCTATGTCCAAAATTCCAGACTGTCCCTTTAAATGCCACACAACATCCAGGCCTAAATGACGATTTGGATTATTCCGTGTTCCTCTGAAACTTTTCAAACTTTCTTGGCAATTCCTTAATGTATATTGATGTTTTTTTCTGTGGTCCAGTGTCTTATTGTATAATGACATAACTGATAGCAATGCATATGCGAGGGACACCCCTACAGCATCTCCAACATGTCATGTGTCTTGTGTGTACTGTGGGTCTGACCATCACCTACACAGTCCGCTGGCCTGATTTTTCAAATCGTGGACACTGTCTGACTTCACAGCATTAGGATTCGTTCGCTCGACGATAGGCAGGTACTTTTTTATTTAACCAATCGCTGCTATTTGGTTGTGACGTATGTAATGCACCGCTAATGGGGCTAAACGGTATATTCAGCTTTTCCCAAATCCCGTAGGAAGAAGGGCAATAACGTCTTTCCCCTTGATAAAATTCACCAAACATTCTCTTTGTTCCAGCTTTAAATCCTCGATCTTGGGAACAGTTTCCAACACAGAATGTCTGTTTTCATCTACATCCATCTCGACGCTTTGTTTACTGTTGTGCTGTTCCACAAAATGGACCCAGACAGGCGCTTGAGTTTGACGATCATGGCTTCACAGCTCTGGTTTACAACTTCTGGAGGTTCTTGCAAACAGTCTAATGTATTCTGATTCCTGACCTAGTCGCTGGAGAGAAATTAAATTGAGCAGAGGCACTCGGTAGAACCAGCCTGGCTAACAGTCCTCATGGTTGACCAACCTTTTCTGTTTCTTTTTCCTATAGTCTTATGTTCTTGTCACGTGATTGTAATTGTACTGGATGACACCTGTGGGTCTGGTTCCACCCTTATGCCCTGACGAAGACCATCCTGCTAGTCGAAACGTGTTGGCGTCCCTCCATGAAATAAAAGAGTTTTAATGCACAACTGGTCAAAAGTTTTAGAACATCCTAATTTTTCCAGTTATTTATTGCAATTCAAGTTCAATGAAGAGCTTGAAATGGTACAAAGGTAAGAACTGAACAGCCAGAGGTTAAAAAAAAAAAAGATAAAAGGTACAAAACACAAGTGCCAAAACTACCCCAGGAAAAAAGAACAAGACGGTAAAGCTTGAAAACATGGAGTGTCCAGCAGCACAGTGTCCAGACTTAAACCCCGTCGAGCTGGTTTGGGATGAACTGGACAGAAGAGTGAAGCAACCTACAAGTGCCACACATTTATGGAAACTTCTACAATAGACTTGGGAAGAACTTTTGATTTCTGTTGTAAAAAGAACGAGCCACGAGTGTGTTCAGCTGTTATATCCGACAAAGGTGGACACTTTCATCAATCAAAAGTTTAGAATACGTTTTGGTCAACAATAAACTATAAACAATAAAAAACAGGAAAAAGTCAAAAACTGTTGATCAGTTGGTGCCTCGGGTTTGTACCTTGCCCACTTTCACATTTTTCAGTAGGGCTGTATTTTGTTAAAACAGTCACATTTTTATTTAGCTCTTTCCCACCTTCAAGGCTCAAAGCACTTTATATCAAGCAACCACTCAACCATTCACACACTTATTCATACACCAGTGTAGTGTTTTGCCCAAGGACACAACAACCGCTCAACCAGTGATGTTTATGTGGAGAGCAAGATTTGCACTGCCAACCTTCAGATCTGTGGACAAAGTGATAAAACTGACACAAATTCATGTTTACACAGATTATTATGACGTAAAACGCCCGTGTTGCATGGTTAATCCTTCTCGTCTGAGTTTACACCTGGCGGCTCACAGATGTGTCAGTAATAACGGCGACTTTGACCCTGGACTTCTGTTAAATAACATGAATAAAATATTTTGACAGGAGAAAGTCACATTGTGTTGGAGCTGTAAACATGAGCCTCCTTGAACAGAGCGAGGACCAGAGCGGCTCAGTGCTTAGTCTAAGTACACTGAGCTCATCCATTATTCATACAGCTGTTTAAGACACGGAGACGAAGGGATGGACGGACGGACGGACGGAGAGACGTACAGAGACGGGGAGAGGGAAAAGGAGAGAGAGAGAAGCACAGAGAGAGAGAAAGGGAAAGAGAGAAGAACACAGAGAGAGAAAAGGAGAGACAGAAGCACAGAGAAAGAGAGAGAAAAGGAAAGAGACAGAGAGAAACATAGAGAGAGAGAAAAGGAGAGCGAGTGAGAAGCACAGAGGCAGAGAGCGAGAGAAAAACAGAGAGAGACAGAGAAAGAGAAGCACAGAGACAGGGAAAGGGAGAGAGTTAGAAGCAGAGAGGCAAAGAGAGTGAAAGGGAAAGAGAGAGAAGCACAGAGACAGAGAAAGGGAAAGAGAGAGAGAGCAGGACAGAGACAGGGAAAGGGAGAGAGTGAGAAGCACAGAGACAGAGATAGGGAAAAGGAGAGAGAGAGAGAGAAGCACAGAGATGGAGAGAGAGAAACAGAAAGAGAGAGAAGCACAGATACAGACAGAGAGAGAAAGAGAGACACAGAGAGAAAGAGGCAGAGAGAATGAGAGAAGATAGTGAGAGACAGAGAGAGAGAGAGTGACAGACACAGAAAGAGAGAGTCAGAGAGACAGAAAGAGAGAGAGAGTAACAGACAGAGTGATAGAGAGAGAGAGAGAAAGAATGAAAGACAGCAAGAGTCAGAGACAGTGAGAGAGA